GGTGCAGGAATTGGGGGGATCTGAGGGGGGGAAGGTGCAGGAATTGGGGGGGATCTGAGGGGGGAAGGTGCAGGAATTGGGGGGATCCGAGGTGTGTGGTGCAGGATTTGGGGTGATCCGAGGTGTACGTCTCATTGATGGTGTAATATTTGGAAGAGGACACTTGACGTGGAAGTCGCTGATCTCGGATTTGAGACATTTTAGCTTTTATTATTCATCTTCCTCAAAGGAAATGGAAAGAGAGAGATTGGAGGCCGGCGACACGAGATCCTCTACACATAGTAAATAGTTCCGATAACACGGCACAGATAACAACACACGCTACACACGCGGCACACATCTGACCCGGGGACACGGTGACACCGCGCAAATATGAAATGTTTAATGGCCATGTCAATGGTGCTGACCTTCTCCAACCTATTTCAGCCACTTCCTGTCTACAAAAGGTAAGCACAGGGACCCGTTGATAACATCACTAAAAATGATGAGTCTAAAATGATGTATGTAATAAAAACTGAAAGGTTGCCCTAAAGGTACTTCCTGTTATGGTGACAACGCTCTGTCCCAGTCTCCTAATTGTGCCCCTGCGTTGTCACCCTGACACATGCACCCCCCCCTTAGACTACCAGAGGTCATGCCGATACACACGTTGCTCAGGCACGGTCCCACTGATGGCACTATTGGGAAGCCGGTCCAGAGCAATGATATGCAAGCTGATGCTGGAGTCAGTGCATGTAGACAGGAAGTCGTTGGGAAAGGCTGCAGGAGGAAAAATAGTAAAAAGAAAACTGCATTTTATGAAAAGAGTATTTTATTATGATGCACATAAATGTCATCCAATGTCTACAAAATTCCTTGAACGCGGTGTAGCGCCTGCCCCCCCCCGCCCCCTATAATCTGTATTACTAAAAAATAAAAAAGACAAAACATTTCTACAACTGATACATTGCGGGATCTGCAGCCGCAACAACGCCCGGGTGACTCGGATCTCTTTGCCGCCCCTGACCGCAGCGTGTACGAGGGTTATGCTTATCAGCCGAGAGAAAAACACAGTCGCCTAGCAACAGGAACTTCCTGTAAAATCCGCGGTAACAGGCGATCACCAGCCAAAATTAGTGCCAGACGGCCTTGAAAATTCTGCATGTTTGCAGGTCGGCCTCCCGATTGCAACACAGTGTCAGCGCACGCTGGCTGCGGGCCAAGACCGCGTCCACTGACTGCAGACACCAGCTGCTCTATGGAACGCCGGCGTATGCGGGTCTAACGTGGAACATTAGCAGGAGGGGGAGGCGCAGCTCTACACTGCAACAGACAGACATTTATGGGTTTGTAGATGTTCTGAGCGCGTCACCAAATTAGAGATTTGTTACGTCTCTCTGCGACGCACGCCGCCCAGAAACATGCGACGCTCTATTAGTCAGAAACATGCGACGCTATTAGTCAGAAGCATGCAACGCTCTATTAGTCAGAAACATGGGACGCGCTATTAGTCAGAAACATGGGACGCGCTATTAGTCAGAAACATGCGACGCTATTAGTCAGAAACATGCGACGCGCTTAGTCAGAAACATGCGACGCGCTATTAGTCAGAAACATGGGACGCGCTATTAGTCAGAAACATGCGACGCTCTATCAGGCAGAAGCATGTGACGCTCTGTCAGAAACATGTGACGCTCTGTGAGAAACATGGGACGCGCTATTAGTCAGAAACATGCGACGCGCTATTAGTCAGAAACATGCGACGCGCTGTCAGAAACATGGGACGCGCTATTAGTCAGAAACATGCAACGCTCTATTAGTCAGAAACATGCAACGCTGTAATAGTCAGAAACATGCGACGCTATTAGTCAGAAACATGCGACGCGCTATTAGTCAGAAACATGGGATCAGTCCCGGGCCGGCTGCTGAATGTCAACAAACCAGGAGGCAATGCTGGCTGAAGCCATTGTCCAGATAAGG